AGCACTGGTTGCCTCCCCCACGCTTCATTTGCCCTTTTGTTTGAAATATGTTTAGCCACCTTTTCATTTGAAAATGAGCTATAAACCCTGATTGAACTTACAGATCATGCTACCTCTGGATTCAATAAGGCTTGCCCCAAAGCAAACGCAAAACACTAAGCAAACTGCACACTTGTATTATCCTCTACCTGAAAAAGCATCCAATTACACCCTTCAGCACAAAATCTATCACCACCTGCATTCTCAATTCCAGCTACTCCAGTTCATGGAAAGGGTCCCCCAAGTAGGGCCTGAAAGAACGTGGCTTGTTCATATAACCGTTAACAGTATCCAACAACTGGAGATTTAATTTGTGGCCTTTGTCTGGACTTTACCAACACGATTCACTCTTAACAATATAAATGTAGATGTGCTTTTCTACGAATTTGCAAAATTAAAAAGGCAACTCACTTAGCACAATTCAGTTTCAGGTTTTTTCCTTTTTTTCTAAGAAGTGGCCCAGAAGAAATGTGGGAAATAATTCTTTCTCTTTTTGTATAGAAAGTATAAACATTTTAACCAATTGTGTTTGACAGAAATTAGGCATCATAAAGGGATTACTTTTTATATTGCAAGTGAAGTTTCTTCTTGCATTGAAATATCGGCATCATTTAGCTGACTCCAGGAAGATGGACGACAGCATGATTGCACTTGGTTGAATAATTGAGAGAGAAAAATGTATCACACAAAGACCAGAAAACAAGAGTAGGAGACAAGGGTATGCCATGGCTTGGCTGCTGAAGGACATCTGTACACTTGTGCCAGCACTAAGTACTCTTCCCAATGAATAAACCATATGTCCACTTTCATATGCTTCCTTTCACTAAGATCCTGTTATTCTCTTTGTCTCCTTCCCTACCTCACCTTCTTCCATCTACAGCCTGCTTTCCCCATCCCTAACTTCACCTCTTTGGGCAACCAGTATTTATGCCCCAGCTACCAACTTGAACATCTGCTAGCTTTAAAAAAAAAAAAAAAAAAAAAAATCTCATTGCTAAATATCCTCCAGGGCAAAAAGTTTGAAGGATTCAGCATCCTCAAAAAAAAAACCAGCCACAGAAGGAAAAAAATTGCATATCTTTTCTAGTTCAGTGAATTCTATCTATATAAAGATTAAATGAATAACACTTTAAAAATTCCTCAATGCAAGCAAATCCATGTCACCGACAAGGTATTGTCTTTTTTTATGCAGAGAAGATGGAGACTCACACATTTTTTATTTTATTTCACTTGTGCAACTGTGTCTCCTTTGCAATATATTACCATATAAAAGAGATATGGCATAAATATAACTCTAGAGAACAAAATGCTGTTATATGTCTTCTTTCTCTGGGATGATTTTCTTATTTCTCTCCCTTTCTTTGTTTTCTGTCTCAAAACACCTCTCCAGCTGAAAGATGATACCTTTCCATTGAATTAAACTGAGTCCTTCCCCAGTACCAATAATAATAATAATAATAATAATTTTTAAAAAACTAAGTCTATACTAAAATAGTGTGCCTGAATTCATCCAGAGACAATTTGTGAAAACTTCATTTTAATATTTAGTCTTTTCACACCAATTCTTACAGCAGCAGATTCTTTTCCACCCGAATTTTCATTGCCCATATACCTTTGCCCTCAAGCTTTTACCAGTCCATTTCCTTGATATGTTTACACTTAATTTAATTCCATCCTTCATGCTGTTTTCATCAGTCTTAGTTCATCCACACCACATAAATTATCACCTATGTTTTCAGTTCCCCATGTGCCCCATTCACACCAATTCCAAATAAATACTTCTGATTCTCCTCCATTTCATCTAAATTAATTCATATTCTCTCTTCCATCCTCCATCCCTATCCTACCTCCCCTCTTATCTATTTCTTTTTCCTTCCGTGCTTGCCTGTGAGGAAGGTTTTTATAGGCAAAATGCTTCTGTAGGATGTGAGGCAATTACTTCTAAGCTGTCTTCAGGAAAGCCATTCTATACATTACTGCCAATCTCAGTGGACTAATGTCTGCAGGGCCAGTTTTACCCTCCACCCTGGTGTCCATGTGCATTATCACCCCACACCTTACTGATCAACCACTAGGAAAATATTCTCTTACTTTTTTGGTAGTATAGGTTGAATATCCATTATCTGAAATGTTTGGGACCAGAAAATATTTTTTTCTGATTTTTTGAATATTTGCATGCACATAATGAAATAACTCATTTATAGTTCATGTTCTCCTTATACACATAGCCAGAAAGTAATTTTAAACAACATTTTTAGTGTTCTGGCATTTTGACTGACTTGTTCCATGAGGTCCCATGTGGAATATGCTACTTTGTGATACCTGTAGGCTCTCAAAAATTTCAGAGTTTGAAGCAGGACATAGTGGTGCATGCCTGTAATTCCTACTACTTGGGAGGTTGAGGCAGGAGGATCAGAAGTTCAAGGCCAGTCTTAGCAACTTAGGGAGACCCTGTCTCAAAATAAAATTAAAAGGGCTGGGAGTGTAGCTCAGTGGTAGAGCACCCCTGGGAGAAATTCCAGTAGCAAAACAATTTTGGAGTTTTAGATTAGCGATACTCGATCTGTATTTAACGCTGGCTAACTGGTTCATTTCTCATTTACATAAAGCTGGTTTTCACTCAATTATCACTATTCAGTGTCAAGAACAATACTAATAACTATAATCAGCAATAACAGTAATGAGTTTTTACTATCTGCCAAGTAATTTGCTAATTTAATCTTCAAAACAATCTCTGAGGTAGATGGAATTGGCACTATTTTACAGAAGAAGAAACAGAGAAGATAAATAATTTATACAGAAAACAAGCCCAAGTCTACCTAACCACAAAGCCCTGCTCTAGCTCTGCTGCCATGCTACTTTTCTAATAATGCTTACTGCCTCCTTCAGGGCATTGCCCATAGGGAGGAGCACTGCAATCCACCACGAGGCAATGGCTGCAGGTGCTGGGTAGCATAATCAGCTCCACCTTGGTAATCACACTGAGTAGACAATGTTCCAAAAACAACATGCCAAATAATGCATCAATCATCACATCTTCCATCATCTCTGCTGAGAAGAGGGGATAGAAAGAAGAAAATGCTGCAGATTTCCCCAAAGAATGTCTGCTTCACCAGAGTGGTCCAGCTTCCATACAAGGCAGGATGTAGCCTTAGTGTTAATAATTCTGAAAGGTGTCCATAATTATGAACTCTATAACCCCTACAAACGTCAACATTCTTGGTTCATCAACATCCTCTGGCTTCCTGGAGTGGGGGCAGGAGATTAATCATGCATTGAAATCAGGGAGCACTGCAATGTCTTGTCTACTTACTGACTTTAGAGAGAAAGGAATATAAATAAAAATTACTTTCAGGACAAAATCAGAGAAGAAAAAAACCTAACGATATGAGGAAGCACTAGGCTTTACATATAAATTCTGCAGAAAAACCATGAATGGAACCCTACACCTGATCCATAGGACAAAAAAATTATGTTAGGGGATTATCCCATGAACCAAGGAAGAGCCACATGGGAAATTAAGTTTAGAATTAGAGGACATGCCTGTCTTGTATATAAGGAAGCAATGTCTGGTCTCACTATTTCACAGGAGTGACTTTGAGTTTCAGCACTTTTATCCAGTCATATTTATGCATTCCTACTTGAGGAAAAGTTCTTTAGTACCACACAAAGACATTTCATGGACCATCGGAGCTGAAAGGGGCCTCAAGAGCCAGATTGTTTGACAGATGTAGAAAATGAGGCCCATAGAGATAAAGAAATGTACTTCAGGTCACAGAGCTAGTTAGTGGCAGTTAGAACTAGAATCCAGGGTGCTCTGATCTTCCAGCCAATCCTCTTTATGATGCACACTTCCTTGGTGGCACAGTCCACAACCACACAGAATACCAGACACTTCTCCCACCTCAGCTGCGACCATCCACTTTTCTCTGAGAATGTTCTTATTCTTCCATTTACACCTTTGGGGATTTTCCCTATTCAGCTTGAAGTGTGCAAAAACTATGGAAAAGCCATACAAGTCATATGCTCTTAGTGACCCACTTAAAAACCACCAATCACAGTAATTGCTCCTAGTAGCACCCTAGTAGACCAAGAAGAGATGCTACCCACAAGCTACAATCTCGAAGTAGAGAACAAAGACCAGCTTAAGATACGGCCAATCTCTCCCTCTTTTGTGTGAACCCCACTCTTCCAAATGATCCCATTGCTTGAAAGATCAATATGAATCCTTGGAATCACCACGGAAGTCCTATGTGAAACATACAGGCCCTCTCCCTCCCCCACCCGCCCTTACCACACACATAGCAATGTAATCACTTTAGCAACTTCTCAGTAACAAGCTCATTAAAAAGCAATTCTGCCATCTCTCCATAAAGCACGCGCCAGAGAACAATGCAAAAGAGGAGATGCCAATTAATTATAGAATGATCACATCTAATGAACTCTGAAACCCTCCTGCTGTTGGTGACTTTGATGAAAAATCAGGGATGCTGGGAAAAGAGTGAATAGGGACACCCTAACCACCTTGTTTAACTGTGGATGCTTCCTAGTGTACCTCCTTGGATTCTGGTGCTGATCAAACCTGCAAGCTACACTCAGAAAACAAAGACAAGTGTCAGCAAAGGGACCAGAGTCTGCACTATGTATGTCTTACGTGAGTCACGCTACCAGATCCCCTTCCATCAGCCTCAGAACTCTGAGTTTATGCTGTGGTTGGCATTGCCTCTGAAAGCAACTCTTAGCCAGCCAGTGACGAACCCAGGTCCTGCACTTGGGACATCTTGAGGTTTGAGGGTATAGAGTGAGTCATTCTGCTTCCCCACCCAGGGCCCTCCTGCCTTTGGGTCACCTCCTAGTCAGCACAAAGGCCACTTCTTAGAACAAAGAGGAGCCCTTCCCACCTCAAGGCAAAAAGCAGGGGAAAGAGGAAGAAACCACATGCGGCCAACTTGTACCACTACCTGTGTGAGTCCTCTGGTGGGCCTTTAGGTGGGAGCTTTTTGTATAAACTTTCCGGCACCCGTTAAACTGACAGCGGTGAACCCTCTTCTTGTTTTCGGGGCATGCTTCTGCCCCTACCCCTCCTTGTTCACTGTCGCTCTGTCCACTCTTAACTGCCCCAGCTGGTGCTACGGCGGCTGCTGCTGCTGCCACCCCTCCCACCTTTACTGAGCTCAGTGCAGCCTTCTTGGCCACCAGTTTCAACGTCACCGTGCCATCCACGGCTGAGAGAGTCTGTGAGGTTTTGACCAGATGGCGGCTGAGCTCAGGGGACGATGGGGGCGTTAATGAGGTCACTGCGTTGAGCTGGGCCTGGTTGACGGCTGTGTAGCTGTCTAGAGAAGAGCTGGTTGGCTGGAGGCTGAGGCAGGTCTCAGATAGCAACTTGTCCCGAGAGAGCAAAATGTCCACTGCAGAGCTCTTCTCGCAGATGGTGGCTTCCACTGGGAGCAGCAGGGGGTCTAAGCGCCGGAAGCTCTCCTCAATGCACGGGGGAGGAGAAGCATGGAGGAAACAGTCCAAGTCCTCACCAAAGGTCTCCGAGATCCGCCTGGGCTCTGTCTGTAGGTAGCGTTCCAATTCAAGACATGTCTGCAGAGAGGAAGGAGGGAGAGAGAGAAATCACCATCTGAGGCAAAGAACACCGGGAGGCCACTGTTGACAGGCAGAGGGGCAAGGAACAGAGAATGGTTACATGGCTGGTATTTGAAATGCTCTCACTGAAAGGTCTGACCCTGCTATTTACTCTCTGAATACTTCTGAAGGGTTCAGAAGGGTCCCATCATCATATGACTTCAATTACTGTGGCTGAAGGAGAACTAGAGTCCCAGAAGGACTATCTCACACCTTCAAGATCCCAGAGAACATCAAATGCCAAAATGATGATCTCCTGCCCCTCAATCCCATTCAGCAGGTAAGATGCTCCAGGTATCCCCAGGATTTCCCATGAAAGCAAGAAGCAAACAGAAACAGATAAGACTTCTCATAGTGTCACTTCCATTTTTTAAATAGATTTGATCAAGTCACAACAATAAATCTATTTTCCAACTCGTTCTAGAGAACAAAGCATGTCCACTCAAACTAAAATGTGACATTAATAGCAATTAACCAACAGCAAGACCTGGCTTAAGCACAGATTTTCCAACCAGGAAGAATGGATCTTGTTCTAAGGAGTGCTTAGCATAAAGCCTTTGAGGTATACAACAAAACCCCTGATGCTCACAGCAAGTCATTAAAAATACAATTTCTACACACTATGTGGCATCTACATACAATGGTTTAGCATCTCTGACTACATGATAATAATAACTTCAGATGCAGCTGTTGAGACCTGTTAAAGATAGGACCCTATATATCTCAACATAAAGTTTTTCTCCTGATAAAGAAATAGAGAAGAAAAACCAGAAGGTTTAGTTTCAACAAATCTTCATCTTTGGTGCCTATAAGTCTTTGTAAGATTATAGAAGCACTTTCATGGCAAAAGTAGATACTTAAGAAGTCTGTGTTCAATTGCTCTCCTCCCTTAAAAACTCTACTTCTCTGGACTATAGTATGAAACTATATTGCTACCTTGCACTATTGGCCCAATTTTCTCCATCTTCTGGGCTTCTGATGGCACATTTTAATGTGACTGGATCCCAACTGAATACCTACGTGAAGCTTCTATGTTTTCAACCAGAGTTCTGATTCTAGGCTTTTATTCTGCTATGCATGTATTTTAATGATATACCTAGTCGTGTTGTATCTGTCAAGGATTTTATTTTGGTGACATTTCAAAAGATTGGGTTTTAATCAGCCTTCTAGAAAAACTCTGTATGACTGAATAAGAAAACCAGATTCTTAACTATGAATCAGCTTTGGGCTTCACAGTTGATTTTTAATGATATGAACTAATGAATGGTTCTAATCTTCATTCAACACATGTCACAAGTGTTCATTCAACTACTGTGCCCACAGCAAGATGCAGGGCTTTGTATGTGACAGAATGATTAAACATGGGAATAGATCCATGTAATATACATGTAGGTACAGAATGAACAATCACAAGCTAGAGAGGATATGAATTTACAAAGCAAAGTGACCCCAAATAAATATTGTACTATAAAGTGAACTGGTCAGGGGATGAGTGGGTAATGAATTCTCTAATATGGAGGTATCCATAAAGGAAAGCTTAATGAAAAAGTAAGATTTGATTGTTTTACTTTTTGATTAAATGTAGCTCTGGCTCAGTAGCTTCTCAGCACTTTATATTAGAAACCAACACTCCAATGTTAGCACCTTCTCAGATCTAGAAATTTGCATTATCCTCCTCACTTGCTCCTTTTCCAGAAACTCCATGTCTCCAAATTTTTCCTCTTCCCGTTTGTACCTTATTGCCAGAAATTATCATTTACTTCTCTGAAATATTGAAACCCCCAGTCTTAGCTTCAGTCACTTCATATCTGGATTATAGAAGCCTACTCCTGAAACCTCTCTTAATCTTTTCTTCCTGTTTTAAAAATGCTGCCAATCAAGCTCAATATTTGGCACCCAACAGATACATGGTATCTGCCAAAGACACAATCAACCATGTGCTATTACTTTGGTCATTCTACCTCCTCTACTCTTCAAAACCCATCTTCTGACACCCAAGCCTTGTACCCACCTTATCCTTGGCACTGTTCCATGTTCTCAAATATTGGGAAAATATCTGTACAGTTTCCCTACTTTCTTCTTCTTCTGAGTGTGTATCTGTCATCAAAATCTGACTGTTTCTGTTGACTTTCAAGTGCCTTCAGGTAGATGCTTTCATACTATGCTCATTATTTTACAGTTATTTTCAGTAGGGAAATCCATTATTATTAGGGACCGATTAAAAAAAAAAACATGTTGTTTAACTTCCAGATATTTTGGAATTTTCTAGATATATTTTTATTATTGATTTATATTTTGATTTATTTTTGCTCAAATAACATACTTTATAGGATATCAATCCTTTCAAATTTATTGAGGTTTACATTATGGCCCAGAGTATGGTCCATCTTGCTGAGGCTGGAGGTCTTGGAAATGACCACTAATGTGGGTCTTTTGAGAACATAATCATAATGCTTCTTGAGTTTTGCCTAAAGAGAAGAACCAGGTCTTTAAGACATGGATATGTTCCAAGTTAAAAAAAAAAAATCAGCTGAATCATGGGTTATAGGATGTCCTTGAGGTTACAGGACGGTCCCTGCCTCCCACACAAGGACTAATTCATACACCCAGTTGCTACTGTCTATGGATAGAGCTTTTGTGTGCCCTGTCCATTTACACGCTTTCTAGCTCAAAGATTTGAAAGTCATCAAGGAAATGATTGATGTGGGCTCATCTTTCTTCATAGTCAGAGTTCTGAGAAATTGAGATATTCTAAACACATTTATGCTCTATTCTGGGAGCATTAAAAAATAACCTTCCCAATATTCCCTGGTTTGCATCCCAGGAGCACATGAGTCATACTTATGATCTAAACATGGGGAGACCTTATTCACTAAAATCTGGACCACTTCAGAGAGGCTACCACTTGCAATTTGGACACAGGACTTTCTTGTTCTATCTAAGACTTAGAGAAGCATCAGTACCCATCAGGAAGTGCTAGGTATCCCTGTGAAATCATTACAGAATGATTTTGTTTTGAGAAATCTACTTTTTTACAATATGTTCTAGAGATGAAGCTTAGATAGAAAAGAGCTTGTCACCTGGAATGTAGAAGTTAAAATATTTTCTCATCAAGAGTGTGGAGAGTAAAATGCTAAAGATGAGGAGAATTTTAAGATGAAATCTTTCTAACCCAAACACAACATTTATTTCCAATCATATTTGTAAATAATTAGGAAAACTTACTTAATCAATGCTCATGATGTTTATCTGCAATTTATGGTATCAGTATTTACTGGATTTTAATACACATACACAAACATGAAACAGACACAAAAATTATGTAAGGGCAAACTGATGCTATATCAACAGAGCATATATAGGAATAAATGTGTACATACATGGACAAATTATTCGTACACATATTTCCTAACTCCACCCACTGAGAAGCCTACAAGCAAAGACAATGCTGTAGTAATGAGCAGAAAGAACTTGGTTTCTAGAATCATTATCCAGTAAGGGAAAGCAGGGCTCCTTGGAGAAACAGTCATTTCAAGGACTGGGACAAAGAACCTGTAGGATAAGCCTAGAACAGCTTGTGGAACCAGAAGAGATGGAAATGCTTGTAAAGTAAGAGAAGTGCAGCAAAACACTGAGGAGCCACTTAAAGAAAGCTCTCAATGGCCAAACATCAAACAATTTAAGCAACAACAACAACAACAAAAAAATGGAAGTGATAATAATGGATTATAACCCACAGAATAAAATAAAACCCCATGCTGATATAAATAAATAAGCAAACAGGAAGTCAACTCTTCCTTATAGTAAAATTACAATGAATAAAAATAGAACGTTTGATGGAAATAAAAAAATCACCATGAGGCAAACACAAAATTAATAATGATAGCAAGTAGGAACCACCAATTAATGCTAAAATCAATATGAAAATCAAAGTATGATGAGAAACAAGATAAAGGCCTACTCTCAAGTTATCCTCCAGCAAGATTTTTATTAATTACAAAGACAAAAATAATGACCTGGCAGTGGAGAAACCTGGCTATCACCACCGTCATCATGTGATCAAAGTGAGCAGCACCAGTAATAAGTCATACTGATAACATGCACAGCTAATAGGGCGTGCTGAAATATTCTGTGATATTCTGTGATAGTCCTGCCCCCAAATGCAGGAACTCTTGTCTTATCCTGAGAAAGCATCAGTCAAATCCAAACTGAAGACCATTCTACTAAATAATTAAGCAGTATTTGCAAGTATCAAGGTCAAAAAAAAAAAAAAGCAAGACTGAGAAGCTGTTGCACACTAGAGAAGAGGAGATTTTTAAAAAAGTGACAACTATACACCATGGATCCTGGTCTGAATCCTGGATCTAGAGTAAAAGGACATTGGTAGAAAAATAATATAACTCGAATGAAGTGTACACATTAGTAAATGGCATTGTATCAAAGATAATTTCCTGATAATGATAATTAGACTATGATTACGTAGATGTGGACAGAAAGCAAACAAAGTAGGATATTATAAATTTGGATCTAGAATTCCAATGTCTGTGGGTACATGGGAGCAGAGTCACTCTGTTCTGATGGTGCACTAACCAGCAAACTCCAACTCTGAGTCAGCAGATATGTTTAGTGATATAAATTATGCCTGTTTCTGGTACCACATCTTGGAGATGTGAGTTTTCCCTAGGCCTGACCTAACAATACAACTTAAGGGCCTGAGTCATTGGATATCACCCCACCACCAACACCACAACACACACACAAAAAAGACCCATTACAGTCAGCACTGGGTAAGAATGCTCCCAAGTGCAAAGTGATTTTCTCATGTATTTATGAGTCACAAATGTGCTTTGTGAAAACTCTAATATCTCAACTTTGAAATGCGTGGCTTCATCTTCTCCTAGGCTCCTAATAAATATCACCTGAAATTGGTTTTGAAACGATCACCTGAAAGCTCTATT